TAGAGAAATTGAGTATGAAAAAGCTATTATAGATATACTATCATTAGCTCTACACATTATCACTTTTTTCTAATCAATTAACTTCACTACTATCATTAATACAGTAACGGAGTCCTATCCCAAATACTATTGTATCATAAGGATAATACTACAAAACTACATCTCTCTTCAAATTGAAGAGCTAAATATTTAGTTTGCTTGATAAATCTACTATCCATTTCTCCCAGCTGATTCTCAATTTTGTTGCATTTCCTCCGTCAAATTTCAAAATATTTGTATCCGTCACCAGAGTTGGTCATTCCCTCTTCCAATCACCCATCCGACGACCACCAAAAACCACTTGTTGAATGCCTAAATATCTGCATAGTGAACTACACATGTTAGCATCTCAGCTAAGATGATGTCAACCACTCATAAATTTGATAGTGAAACGCTTACTCTGAGCTCAGTACAGTCAAAGCAATTGAGAAGTACGTCAATTGGAGAAGAAATCAGCTGTACCAAGATCCACCCTATTATACACATGACCAAGTTGAAATAAGCAAGTTTATGAGTGGTTGACATCATCTTAGCTGAGATGCTAACAAAGGAATCTTTAACGAAATATTTGTAAATTTAAATGAAAAAGGTGCAAAGAAAGGCATACCAAACTCTGCCCCAATTGTCCTGGAATTCAACATTACTTATGTCATGGAACGATGAAGGCATCACCTTGGAGCCTTTGTCTGCATCATAAAGAGGATCAAACTCCAACGATGAACCCCCCAGCTGCATTCATTTAACACAAATATGAACCTTACCCAATTATGTTAAAGGGAGATTTCAATTCTTTGCAATCAAAAATTTCAGAAAAGAAAAAGGGGATGAATGAACTAATATGATCAAGCACATAATAGAACTAATAACTTCATACAGTTACAACTTGACCTAATACCAACTTGTTTCAAGGTATTACAAACTTCGAGGACGATGATTGTAAGTACTTCCACTTAATGATTGGTTACTTGCTAAGGAAGCAGAGTGATGGGAATGCAACACTAAACAACGGCAGAACAAAGAAAAATAGGTGTTTACCTGCAAATTAGATGAGTTAAATGCGCCTAATCGGCCGATGACATACCATGCCTGGATAACCTGCCATTAGGAGCAAATATCTTCCTCAAGTTATCAAACTCAATAGGCTAAAAGTAAGTCATGTGATGTGAGAAGTGAGAACAGAGAAGAAAACAACATACACTACCGAGAAGGTTAACGTCTCGATCAGATGGTGAGCCATATAATTCGAACCATATGTAGGAATCAGAGGATTAAAACTGTCAATTTCAAGTTAGATCCAGTGAGTGATATATCTTAACAATAAGCAAAGAATAAAAAAGAATATTGCAATAATAGGCAACATTTCAGTTTAATGATTATATTGTTAACTTAGTGTCATAGCCCAAGCTCATGGCCGAACAGATCTCACGGACAGCACCGGACCTAGGATTTGATGGGGATGGGTGCACCACTACATCTAACAGACCTGATGCTAGCCATAGAATATGCATAAGGGTGTGATTGGTTCAATGGGTTTTTGGATAAAGGATATTCGAAAATAACCCCGTCAAAAAGGTAAACAAAAGGGACACCCTTACTCGAGAAGACGAAATTTCCCCAAGAGAGTAGTTGCTCAAAAGCAAACTATCCAATACTTGAAACTATTTATCCATAATAATTATTATTTCCACACAGTATATTCATTCACCAATCAGGCACTAGAAACATTTTCCGACGAAAATAATTTCCTTCATACCAAAATCATATACGTTCTGCAAAGACACTCAACTAAAACTGCTGTAACAATTTTATTGTATAAGGGCCTATAAATATCTGCAAAGCATTTGCAGCTTTGTGACAGCTGATGTTAAGAAATATAAAGCACGAATAACAAACCAAAGGCCATGTATTTGAATTATAATAACTCATATTAACTCCAGTGCATTTCCTGATCTATACTTCTTTTTAGTTGTAGGACCTGTGTGGCTACAATCAGACACGCAAATAGTGATTTTAATGAACTATTACAAAGCAATTTTAACAAGAACCCTATATTGTCAGACAAAATAATCTAGAGTGACACCTTAAGAAGTGAACAAAGACATGGACTAATTCTCTTCTCCCGCTTTTATATTTAACAGAAATGAAGTGCACTACACCAGGGAATTTTAAGAAGACGGAAGAGTCAGAATTTATTTACTCTCTAAAGCTGACTTTGAATGCAAGCACAGATCCTGTTTTAGACTTGTAAAAATTTTGGCCCTTAGTTCGAACTCTTTCTTCGACCTATCAAAATGGAGAAAAGGATAAATTTAATTGAAATTTATCAATAAAAAGTGGAGTATCTGTAAAAGGATAAAATAGCACCCACCCTTTTCCTCAAAGCTCTGGATTGCCATACTATTCACCAAGCACAGCACAAAGCTCTGTGTCATGCTTACAAGCATCTTCTAACACTCTGAAAAAACAAAAACAAAAAAACGAAATGTTTCAAGCACCGACCGTGGTGGAGACTTGGCCATGTAACATAGAATAAAATCAAGGAGAAAGAAAAGGACTTGGCCCAAGCAGGGTAGTTGTGGAGACGTTCATATTCACGTTTCCTCTTCTCCTCCCTGACCTTCACCACCTCCGCCCTCTGGCGGTGGTTCCCGACCCTTTGGCACTGCTACTACTAGTAGCATCTGCACTTAAATCTCCCGCTGCAGCAGCATAATCGTCAAACATTCCATCTCCCTCTTTTTAATTGATAGCCAAGGACGTGAAGAGACACTCCATAGCGCCGCGGCCGGGCGCCGGCGCCGCCACTTGAGGAGGATTAAAGTGGAGGAATTGTTGATGCGTAAAAGACATTGGATGCATTCTTAGCTTTATCTTGCAGGAACACGAATTCAAAGCTTTTTATTTTAATTTAAAATTGGACATAAAATCTCTTTATTTCTATCTCTACTTTAATAAATTGTTTTTAAAAAAAATATTAAAGTATTAGGCGTTAGATTTAAAGGACTTCCACTCTAAAAGTCATAATAATATCTCATAGAATATTATTGAAGTATAAAGATAACATGCTAGATTTTGGATCCTATATTCTTTTGTATGTAGATTACTTGTTGAAAATTAAGGACGTGATTGATATTAATTTTGTATTGTCTCTTTGAATAATTAGGAAATGAGTTTCTCCTATTTGCTTTTTGATCACGCCCAACTCTAGTCCTAAAAAGGATAAGTGGTCGCTGCAAATATAATCCGATCTAAAAGTCGGGAGTCGAATCCCACAGAGAACTAAGGCTATAGCTATATCTGTTTAATATCACTAAGAAGAACAAGTTTGAACAATTTTCTAAATTATAAAGATTGAAGATTTATATTTCTAACTAATTAACTAACAAATATCATAAAGCGATAAAACTATCAACTAACGAGACAAAGGGTTGGAGACTAAATTAAGGAGGTCTAGAGTTATGATTTCCCAATTGTCGGAATCCTTCTAGCTATGTTCTCTACAATTTGCCAATGTATTCTCTACTGATCGTGAGCACTTTAGGTGCCGTAATTCTTTCTCGAGCAACTACAACAATTTACTAGACATATTCTCTCGAACTACGCTAGTTGGTTTTTATCTAACCGCTCATTAGACCACGTCAAGGCTTTGTTATTTCTAAACCTACCTTTAAACCCTATGTATTGATTCTCACATACGTTAGGAGTGACGTTGTTCAATAACTACCTAAATATGTACTCTCTCTCTAGCAGACACACTAAATAGGCACAGTCAATTGATGGCCATTCAATCAACAACAACAAACGCGTAGTTGAACAAGTAGAGAAATCCAACAACTCAATTATATAAAAACATAACAAGAATTTATCCTACAAAAAGTTCTATCAAAACCCTAGATAACAAATTAGCTATTCATAATAGTATGTAAAACTACAATACTAAAAGTCATAACCAACAATGAAAAATAGGAAGAGGAAGGAAAACTCGTAGAAGGATTCCCGGCCTTACTCCTATTGTGTCTCTGCCTCCTTAGGTCGAATTTGTGTCAAAAATTGGTCTCCTCCCTCAAAAATACCGTTTTTCCCATGTATATATACCAAGTAGGGTCGGGCCCAAATAATTATACTTCTCCTACGCGAAAAAGGATAATTTTTCATGTCTGGACTGCCGCGGCCGCGGTCAACCGCGGTACGGATGCGGTATTTTGGCAAGTGTACTGCCTCAGCCCGCCTCAGTCCGCGTCGCGGTTTCGATACCATTTTTTCACCCTGTTCCGTTTGGAATTTGGAAAAACTTAAAACATGAAAGTTGTAGCCCTTTTGAGTTAGATTTCCAACCATATATTGTGGAGCCCAAATGGAGTTCTGAGTAAAAAGTTATATGTATTTTACTAGACAGTGTGGAATATGTCTACTCGATTCTTCGTTTTGTTGCTCTATCATCTGTTGATCCCCGAATATGATCCCGGCTTAATTCCTTGGGCTTTTACTCAGACTCAAAGCTCTAAATCACTTGAGTTCATTCCATAACATCTACATAACTCGGAAGCACTCCTACAAGGCATAAAAACACACAACTAGTGCAAGACACTAGCGATTAAAACGCAAACTCAACTAAAGTGCAGTAAATTTGAGTGTAATAAGCGACTAAAATACGTAATTATAGCCTATCATCACACCCCACACTTAAACATTGCTCGTCCTCGAGCAATCAAACTACACTTTAATATAAACACGACATTTTTAAATAATTCTCCTAACTCATCAACCCCAAGAATATTTAAAATAGCTAAGCACAAAGCGTAACATCTTCACCTCAAGATTTGACTCACAAGTACAACGCATTATGCACAACTGACCTACCTACTCTAACA